CCCCTTGCTCTGTCCTGCCGGTTGTCCCCGGGGCCCGGTGGCAGGGTCCGTGGCCCTCCCGGGGCAGTGGGGGGGTGGGTAGCCCTTGGAGCTGCGGGGTCGCCTTTGCGGAGGCTCAGAAGGCTGCGGCCGGGGCGCGGCTGCTGCTGCTCCGGCACCGCCGTGTGCCGCGGGCTCTCCGTACGGGCGCTGTCGGGGCCGGCTCTTGCCGCTGTGTTGAGCAGGGAGTGTCTCCAGCACTCCCGTGCGCATCTTCCCTCACGGATTTTTTTGCTCTGGACATATTGAAGAGCAATGAGCGGATGGTCTGTGGCGTTTGCTCAGGAGCGTGAGCGGTGCCTGCTGCGGGGGCAGTGCCTTACCCTCTCCTCAGCGTCTGCGTTCCGCCCTGCTCTGGGTTTGCCTTGCAGCCCTCTGTTAGGACAAAGCACGGCCGGCTCACGCAGACCTGTGTCTTGGCTTGTCCTATTTGCGTCTGCTTCTCAGAGCCTATGTCAGAATTGTCCCGCGTGAAGACAAGAGTAGATTAGATCTTATTGTTTTGGACCTCTCCCTTTTTCCGCTCTTTGCTGTGCTCCGTTTATCTTATTGGGGGTTGCCTCCATGAACTGGTTTCTGCCTTGTGTTGGCTGGGTGGGAGCTGCTCTGGCAGGGTCAGCTGTATGGCTGTGCAAGCTGCTAAAAGACAGAAAACGTTCACTCCGGCGCTGCGGCACAAGTGCTGATGTAGCTTTTCTCAGCCAAGCCAGGGCTGAGCATAGAGGTTTGTCCGCTTTATCCATTATTGTAGACACAGGATAGTTTAAACTCTGGTGGTGGTGAAAAAGCCGTTTATTTTGATGTAAATTTGGAGGTCGAAGTAAGGTCAGTGATTCCTTGCAGTTCCTTACCTTTGCTTGCTCAAAAGCTGCCTTGGTTTTGTTAACATAGGCTAAATCCTAGCATGGTATCAAGAATGGCCCTGTCTGCTGGAGCTGTATGGTTTGAGTTGTATGAAGCTTTAATTTTATCCTCCACAATCTATTCCTTACGATAATCTGAAGGGCTTTTTCCTGTGATCTGTACTGAATTGGCACACACCGGGGAACAAAGCTGATGTTGTTTGTGTAGCCTTTTTGATACGTTTTGTTTAATAATGATCACTTTGACACAGAAAGATAAATTTCCTTCTAGGCTTTTCTGTACCCTTCTACATAAAAAAATTTGGCGGGTTCTAGTGTTTTTTCTGGATTTCAGTTTTACCACCTGCAGACCAATTACGGCCCAAACACTAGAAGTTCCTCAGGATTTCGGCACAGCTAAATTACTGCATTCCAGCTCCGGAATGAGGGTGGCTGGTTGGTTTGAAGGTGAGCAGCTGCTGTAAGACGTAGGAGCTTTGAGGTGTCACAGGTCGAGAGGTGACCAAAAGCCCCAACACAGACTGTTGGCTGACTCGGGGCCTCTGTGCCCCGAGCTGCTGTCTGTCAGGGTTGCACAGCGGGACCTGCTGATTCAGTGTCTGGCTGGTACCAGCTGCGATTGCCCATCTGTGGGCCTTACGCATGCTTGTTGTGCAGTTAAATTGTGTTTTGTCTCTTAATTCAGCCTGTGGATTTGTGGCTGGGTTAGACCCGGGCTCATGGAGCGGCGTCCCTTCCCTTTAACCCTGTGACATCACACTCCTTTTGCTCTCTTGAGCTTTTGAGCTGGGGTAAACTCTCCTGTTACTGGTGTTCCAGCACGAAGTTTATTTTGGTGTCGCAGCATTACGTTCCGAGCATCCCAGCGTGCCGGAGGAGGGGCCGCCCCGGTAAAGGCCCTGTGGCCAGGCTTCTGTCCCCTCGGCGTGGGAGAGGGACCTGCCATCCCCTCCCCAGTGGTGCAGTCCGGATTCCTTTGGGTGCTGAGAGAGGCACCCGCCTCGGCAGCATCATAACGAGACAATTTGGGGGGAGGCGCCGTGCGATGGGTGTCAGAGCCAGGCTCTGTTCCCTGGCCGCTCGTTCCTCGCTGCCAGCTTTGGGCTGTGTGCTTGGCTGGACGGCTGGAGATGGAAAAACATTTTTTTTGAAAAACCCAAGTTACTAATTTTTCATAGCTGTAGACCCTGTAATCAGATTCCTAGAAGAGGGGCGCGGTGCATGCGGGGGGGGTCTGAGCGCTCGGGTCATTTACCCCGACCGAGCAGATCTCGGCAGA